TAACAGAGTATAGACATCAATGGAGGTCACGTGGTCTAAAGACAAGTTCAAATATCAGAATAAAAGCTATAACTGCTGTTTTTGTGGTAAAACGGAATATATTACATTTCTATGAGTTATTCACAAGGTTTTTATTGTGAAATATAGGTCTCATACAAAGAGTTATTATGCCTTTAATTTTGACATTTATTAGCCTATAAAGAGCATCAGTTCATCCGCCCCTGAGCATTGTGAACCATTGTAACAGTCATCGATCATTCTAGCCTAGCAAACCCATTAATTTTCCCCGTATGAAGTCCCATTTGTCTCAATATCACTTAAAAACCAAAATGTTTACCCATAAAATCAATACTGCAGGAAAACAATGTGAAGTTGCCATTTTTTATAGTAAATGGAGGTTTGAAAAATTGAACTGAATCATTTGCTTTATGAAGAAGCTTCCCATAACTGAATTACCAGTCTATAAGTTATTTATTGATAGCTTTGTCAGGTCTGTATATCTGAAATCTACTCTGCTTTCGAATAAGTAAATAAGCAGAATCATGATAAAATGTAACTCGATCATGTTTCTCCTATCACCTTAAATTAATTTGAAGTCTTCAGCTTTCAGTAGCTTTATTATAGTTATCACCAAGGTAAATCTGTAGGATTTCTTCTGGGCCATTTGAAGTGTGAATACAAAACAGAGGGCAAAATAAACATAAATCTATCACAAATATACTGACTTCCACTCACCTGTAGCCTACATCAGATAACTATATCATATCATGTATCATTACAGTGCATGATAAGTGTTTTTTGCAGACAGGACGGTCAATAAATGTGTGAGAAAATATCTGTTGCCCAAGAGAATAAAGTAGTGATTTTTTTTCAATCAACAACAAATACTGAAATTGTTCTTTACCTCAAATAATTTGATGTTTATCCTAAGAAACAACTTTTCAATATTAGTCAGGGGCAGGCAGAAGCTGTCTTCTGGGTCTTCTGGAAGAAAATCAGTTCTTTTAGAGTTTACATTGAAGGGCATCTCATTTTTTCTGTAAGAAGACAGTCAAAACTAGAGGATGGTTCAACAAATATAATTTGGAAGACTGTCAGAAAATATCTCAGGATCCGCCTCTGATCACTAGTACAGCTGTTAGTTGAAGAAAATTCACAACTCTATTCTAACTATATAACACAGCTGATGAAATTATTCCCAATGCCCAAGCTCTAAAAGAATTGAAATAACATACAAATGCCAGTGGATACTGCTCAGAGTATGTACTATTTACCTGTAGTCTAGATCAGTATACAAAGAAATAAGAAAAATTCCAGCTATTGATGTCAGCCTTGTCACATCTGGATATATATCAAGTTAACTAATATGGAACACGGGAGACCCAGCTGGCATTTATCTCTGCCAAATTTCCATGTATAAACCGTTTTTCTTAGAATTAAAAAATTCAAAAGAAACCACAGTACAGAGATTAAACTTTGTCATAAAAGAATTTCCAGAACCAACTTATGATTTCCCATGTAAGGAATAGTCCACTTACAAGAAAACCCTTTATTTGCTATGCCCTAAATAAACAAAATTCTTGAACAAAGTGATTACTTTAAAGGTTAGCCGAGTTGAAGAAGGACTAAGCAAATAAACAGATGAGATAAACCTACTATCAGATCTAATCGAATGAATTCAAAGAAAATTGGGTGACTTTGGCAATTTTTAGAAGAAAAAAAATTACCTGCTAAATGCCAATTGCAAATATTGAAGTGAAAATACAAAATACACAGATAACTGGTACTGATACATTTTCATAAGCAAACAAAATTAAAGTAAAATAAGTTTGGTTCTTGTATATATGGCACTCCCCATGTGCCTCAGTGTTGTTTACATAAGATGACAATTAATATACCTGGGTTTATCTGGGCTTATTTGCCTCCCCCTTCCCCATCCTGTTGATTCAAAACTTGATAGCAGTTCATTTATAGGTTCAGCTACTTTAATTTTAACTCAGATATTTAAATGATTTTAATAAACTTTGACATATAAAGTTGTACTTCGTAGTGTAAATTGGCCATGGAATCACCACTAGGATAAATCCCTGGGGCCCTTTTAAATATGTCCTATTATAAACCATGAAATCACTTCTTTGATATGCCTGTGATTTAACCCCTTTTCAGTTAAAGGGATAATAACTCTTCGTATGAGATCTATATTTCCCAATAAACACATTGTGAATAACTCATAGAAATATGATATATTCTGTTTTACCACAAAAACGGCAGTTTTAGCTATTATTCTGATATCTGAGGTTGTCTTTAGACCACGTGACCTCCATTGATGGCTATACTCTGTTAAAATCTCTTAAGAGATTTTAACAAAAAACCAAACTTTTTAGAAAAAAACCAGGGACTAACTTTGAATGTAAAAATGGATTCACTAACCATTGGTAAGTATGGAAAAATTGTTGTTTACTCCAGGAAAATTCATTTTTTGGCCGAAACGAAGAGTTATCCCTTTAACAATTTATTCATAGTTTTCAATAGTAACTTATTTTTACCATTTTTAAAAGTGTACCTGATGTTTGGTAGTGGCACGTATTACCTAGATAAGAACAATCCATCTCATTATTGCAGAACACATTGCTTATGGCACCTCTACAGCATTCAGTCCACATGATTATTTTAAAGAAAAATTTTACTTCATTTTCAGTCAATGGCAAAGATGCCTGCTGCTATACTGCTGTTACTACTCTATACAATCAGAAAGATTCTACCTCATAGTAGTGAAAACAACTTTCATTGGTAAGCAACAAAATTCCATTTGTGGTTGTGTAACAGCTGCTTACAAGTCCATACCATCAAAATCAACAAAAACACCAAAAAGAGTTGTTGCCATGGAGGTGCCATATTAAGAGCATCCGAAAATGTACAAATTTAGAACCTGAGGAATTTCCTTTTCAAACAAGACTCATTTTTGATCAAATCCAGATAACTTTATCTAATACTAAAAGAGCACCAACAAGTCTGACAAAGTAATTGCAGGCCTTTTGCATGAACTATATATGCAACAGTAAAGTATCATTAGGAAGAGAAAAAAATAAAGTTACATTAGATAATATACAATCACTACTAAAAAACAAACTGATAATACCAGTCCATCACAGCTTGAACTTGTCACTAACTATAACATTGCCTCTACCAGGGTCACTGATAGATTTTTTTTACTATATAGATAAACACAGATGTGACTCTGGCTAATTTATGAAGCAAACTTCTGCTGTGGAAAAGTGCACATAATTACTATAGTAATCTGTGGCCCCATTCTTATAACACCATCGATCCAACTCTGCAGGGACTGTCACTGAGTGCAATCAGCTTAACTGTCTTAACTGAATACCACACCTCTTGTTTCCAATGTAGTTGTATATATATATATAATCACCAGTTTTTCTGTATTCTACTACAGGAAGAGGTGTGCCATCGAGCTAAACTTATTGCATTCAGCGAGAGTCCCCGCAGAGTTGGATTGATCTAAGTGGACCAATGAATTAAGTGATGGGAATGGGGTCTAAAACTCACCTTTGTATGATGTCTCTGGCCACATCATTGGTCTCAAATCTCAGCGCCAAATACAGGTTCGCCTGATCCTCGGTTATCTTGAAGAAATCCACAGAACATTCACCACCTTCATTGGTAAAGAATTCTCTACAAAAAAAAAGTTGAATATTGAAAATATATATAGTATCACGTACTGCAGAGTATTAAAACCCTCACAACTGAGTGTGCGTACAGTAGTAAAGCCTGCACAGACTAAATAGACCGATGGCTGGGTGGGGGTTTGGAGAGATTGGAAATTAAGGAATTTTTTTAAATAAGTTATCTGTTTGGAAAATAACAGAGTGATTTATCTTAACATGTAATTGCACTATTGAGGGGTTTACTCCCTTCATTCACAATCGTCAGTGTATCAATCAAAATTAACCCAATTAGTTTAATTTAGTTTAGCACAGGTGCTCTAGCTGCTTATAGGTGAGTGTCTGTGCACGTATGTATATGTATTCATGTGTGTTTGTGGGGGGGGGGGGGGTCAGCTAACTCATTAAAAACAATTTGGGGAAAGTCCATACGAGACATGCAACATTCGCTACGGGGCATGCCAGTGAGCATGAACAGCAGCAGCAAAAGCAGTAGGATGGCAAGTGTGGCTGGCAGAAGTAGTAACAGCAGTAGTACATAAATTGTTGTAGAAACTTGCGTAGTAGTCTAGACGTAATATTTATCGCAATTTCTACACGAGCACAAAATTTTCATTCATCGGCCGTACTTTATTAGGCGATGGCAAAAAAAAAGGGTGTACAAAACCCAATAAAAATGAAATATTCAAAGCACGTACCTCACTGCATTAAGGTCGACATCACCAGTAAATCCGCGAAAAAACAGGGTATGTCGACTGGACGGAATAACCATGTGCGCCATATTGCGGAACCAAGTTGAACTATCAATTTAAACAAGTTTCAACACTTGCAGCAGCCCGAGCAACAAGTTGTTGAACTTTAACACCGTTACCACGCGGTATATGTCCCTGTATCTGCTTGACCAAATATGAATATAGCCACGAAATTTGCATTAAAAACTGTTTCGGCCTTGAAGTAGCCAAGGCCCCTCGCGGTCTACAGCAGGCCCATGCGCCGGTGGTTTGCCCCTGCTATATTTTGCTGAACCGATTTCATTTTGGGAAAGGGAGGAAAAAAGAATTTGATAGCTGCAATTAATATTTTGATCACACTTCTTATCATTAAAAAATGCCATATGACATTATGGGGTCTTTTTTCATGTGAAAATGCCAGTCTTTGAAAAATCCTGTGATTCGTACTAAGTTTATATCTGACACAAATGTTTCTCATAATTTCATCTATCTCTCCCCAAGAAGAAGACAAGTGACCCAGTTTTAGCCACAGCCAGTGAGTGTAAACACGCGGAGCACAGTGAGTTCAGAAAGTTTTGTGTGGATAGAAGCCACATTTTTTAGTACAATAGAACATAGCAATGTTATTTTTCCCCTATTTTTACAGTGTTTATCTACGTTACTGGACGACCCAGACAGAAAAGTAGAACATTAAATTATGTTATTTTATGTACCGCGACAAATTTTGTGCCGTTTTTAAGCTGAAGATTAAGCAATGTCGATATACCGGTAAATGGGTTATTCACAATGTCAGTTCACCGAGGAGATATATCAGGTGTTATTTAAACAGATACAGTGTTTTGAAGGAATCATCTTGTCGGGAAAATATGCAGTTATAAATATTTATTTTCTTGCAATTGTATCATTCTTCAAGTCGCTGCCCTTGAATGTCTTGAATTTTAAAAATATATTTAATGTCTTTAATGGTGGGCTCTATATATATACTGAAGGTGCAACCAAAGTTGATCCCCAGACTAACTGATCTGTGGATCAAATATGGCAGATCCTCTTGAAAGCTTACCACGTAATCCCTGTTGGGAATCTATTCAGTGTCTATATATTGGGGGATTTTCAGCAAGCTTTCAAGTGGGTCAATTAATCAGCCATATTTGGTACGTGGATATGTTGGTTTGGAGATCAACTTGGCAGGGGCAGATCCAAAGATATTTTCTGACAGTCTTCCGAATTATGGCAGGGAGCTATGGCCCCTTTGTTGATCCAGCCTTCATTTTTGACGGTTTTCCAACAGAAAAAAATAGATACTCGTCAATGTAACTTGAAAATCTTCTGGCTGGAAGAGCCCGAAGATGGCCAAAATCCACCCCTGCTAAGTGAAGTGCCTTTTATCTCGCTTGATCATTTAAATTGAGTAAGAATTTGTTAGACATTTGACAGTGTCTACTTAAGCACTCGCACACAGAATAAAAATTTATTTTTTTATTATTATTTCAGAATTTTACAAACAGCATAGTATAGTTATGTCTAAGGCTGTCTTGTTACCAAGAGCTGGAGGGAAACTGATAGCCCAACACAGCAAAGATGTCAGCATCAATACGGAGGGGGTGAAGAAGCTGGCAGCCATGGTGAGGGGTTGGCTCTCGATCTTCTCTTATACCTGTGTCAAAGATATTCATATATATTTCTGTGGTTTATTCTGTGCACCATATTTTTGTACTGTCTAATTTTCTCACAGAATTGAGGTCAATATATACTCAGCGGGCCTCTGCATGAATTTAAGGTTATATGTACCCTAGGTTTGTGACGTCATGCAGTCATATCCTAGGCCCTATTCCCAAAGACATCTTCATTCTGTGAAGGTCATTCAAACTCTGGGGGGACTCTTGCTGAATGCAGTTTAGTAGATTATCACACCTCCTAGCTCTTGGCATTAAATAGAATACAGAAATGAGACAAGGCGTGTCATTCAGTTTAGCAGATTGCACTCAGCAAGAGTCCCTGCAGAAATGGATCAGACTACATATAGACTGAAGGTGTCTATGGGAATGGGCTCCTATAGTGTGTTGGAATCAGGATGGAAGAGATATACCCCACATATACACACTGGCTCAGCTGCAAAATTTAGTGGGAAATTTATAAGTTTTTCGTAAGTGAATCTCTAGAACATAACATATGTACCAAGGAATTTTTGTTATAGTTCTAATACTGTCAAATTTGATTATTTCAGCTGCTGGAAAAAGCAAAGAAGAGGGAATTCTTTATTGGCAGTTGGCGAGATCACACCCTGAATCCTAAGACATCAGATGAGAAAGCTATAAATTGGTACATTTTTGGTTTTGTTGGGCCACTGCTGAATTACAAATTTGAATCTTAC